GAGGGTGAGGGGTGGTGAGGGCTGGGGGTGGTGGTGAGGACGGAGGGGAATGGTGAGGGCAGGGTGATGGTGAGGATGGGGGTGGTGAGGGAGGGGTAGTGGTTGAGGGCAAGGGTGGTGAGGGCGGGGTGGTGGTAGGGCAGGGAGGAGTGGTGAGGGTGAGGGGTGGTGGTGATGGTGAGGGCGAGGGGCCAGGCCCCGGCCCACTGCCCCAGGGCCCAACAGGCTGAGCGAGGGCGGCTCACCGCAGCCAGTGCCGCTTGCTGGTGCTGGTGTGGCAGCAGATGGCATCGTACTGGTCGGCTAGCCACACGATGAGAATGATGTAGAAGGCGGTGGTGGTGTCATTGAAGAACTCGGACATGATGGCCTCCATGCCTGTGGGGACAAGGGCCGGTTGGGCTGTGTAGATGGGCTGGCGGGAGGTGGGCAGGGCTGGGGGCGGGCCTCACCCACAAGGGCCAGGATGACCGTCAGGAGGGGCGCCGCAGGGAAGGCGATGGCCATGTTCATCTCCAGCATCTGCAGCAGGTCCACTGCGGGCATGGGGAGGGGAGGTGAGGGGCGTATGGCTGGGGTGGCTGCAGGCATCAGGGGGAGGGGGAGAAACTGGGTGATGCCCCCCTTCCTCCCCACCCCCACGTCCAAGAGACTCACCGATGAAGACAAAGATCTGGTGATGGGAGTAGCGCAGCAGCATGGACACGCTCAGGGTCTACAGGGAGACACGGGGGGCGTGGGGCACAGAGGGCAGGCCTGCAAGGGCCCTCTCTGCCCCCCCTCGGCTGTGGTCCAGGCCCAGCCTCCCTCCCGCCTGCCCTCAGCAGGCCCAGCACTCACGAAGATGACCATGATGACGAAGGCCGCCAGGTAGGAGGTGCGTGCCATCCACATGCTAACGAAGCGGTAGTGCTCGCCCGACACCACATTGCGCAGGAAGCCTGCAGGGCATGTCAGCGTCAGCCCCACCCCCCAGCCCGGCGCCCCCCAGCCCGGCGCCCCCCTAGCCCGGCAGGCCTCACCCTTGTTCTCCTCATTCTCGGCCAGGCCCTTCACACTGGACATGAGGATGTCATCATAGCCCAGGAACTCGTCCAGCAGCAGGCGGCTGAAGCGGTCCCCGAAGCACTGGTCCCGCGTCGGGTCTGGGCACGTGGAGCAGAGGTGAGTGCAGGCCCCCACGCCCCCCCAGGCCACCCGGTCCCTCACTCACCCAGCGTGACCACCATGACGGGGATGCTGAGGCGCTGCCGAGTGGCCTGGGACAGCCGCAGGAAGCCGTACTCCAGCGAGTACTCCACGATGTACTCGTCCTGCGGCCAGGCTGGGGGCGGGGTGGCACTGAGGGCCTGGGCCTGACGGCAGGCCCACAGCCCACAGCCCACAGCCCTCCCTACGGCTGGGCCCTGCACCCAACCCCCAGAGAGGGCCCAAGCTCCTGACTTCCTCTCCGGGGCCCCGGCTTCCTTGCTCGCTGGCAGGTCACTCCCAGGGAGGCTTCCGGGAGGGAGAGACCAGGAACGTGCCCGGAGAGGCCTGCTTCCGGAGCCATGGCCACGGGGCACTGCACCCACAAAGGGGACTGGAAGGGCACAGGGCAGATGGCAGGGCCAGCTAACCAGACACCCCAGGATGGGGGTTGTCCAGAGAGGGTGATGTCCCCCACCTGCTTGCATGCTGCTGACAGATGGGGAGACAGGCGGGGGGGCGGCCCATCCAGGGCTCACAATGGGTGGGAGGGACCTACAGCTAGTACCCAGTGCAGCCTGGCTCCTCAGACCAGGGGCAGTGCGGTCTGAGGCATGTGGAAGGGCCTACCTTTGGTGGGCGTCTCGGGGAAGGGGAACTCCTGGCTGTCATTGAGGGTGTCCACGCCGCCCAGAGGCTTAAACACCTTGGGCTCAATGTCCAGCTCAAACTGTGGGTACGAGGGGACTCATATCAGTGCCCACAGCACACAAGACTTACCTGAAGGGTGACAGGGGCCCTAGACCCCAACTTGAAGGCCACACACTTGGGCTGGTTGTTGTGACCCACCCCTTGCTGCCCACACCCTCACTCCATGCAGCCCAAAGACCTCGCACAGCTGCCTGGGTTTGGGGCCCTTCCGGCCAGAGCCCCACCCCCACATGGGGACCTCAGGGCACACAGAAGAGCCAGGGAGGACTGACAGTGAGTAACAGCAGCACAGAGCCCACCAGGCCCAGGCAGCAGCCGCGCGTGGGCCAGTTCTTAGCAGCAGCCCTCGCTCTGGGGCCCAGGAAGCACTTGGATGCTCCCAGTAGTGGGGAGCTTACCACCTGTGGGAGCCACTACTTCAGGTCAGGTCAGGGCCCTCAGACTGGACCCTCCAGGGTCGCCTCCTCAGTCATTTCTGCGCTCTGCCCAAGAACTAGGCCGGTTGCTGTCACTCCAGTATGAAGTGCTGGAATGCAGCCCCACGGGACCCCAGTGCGGTGACAGCGGGCTGACGCTCACCTGCACGGAGCTGTTCCCAAACATCTCCATGGTCAGCTCCTCCTCCTCGTCCTCAGGCTCCAGGCCACCCCCACCAGGCTCCACAGCCAGGCCGGGGAAGCTGCCGCGGGTGCTGCCATCACAGAACTGCAGGAAGACGGGCGCGCGGCTGGAGTTGTGCTGGACCTCGACACGCAGGACGCCCTCGCGAGGCCAGTGCTCGCGCACGTGCTCCAGGCAGTTGATGGGCGAGCGGGAGAAGGCGACGTGGATGTAGGCCAGGACAGAGAGCACCACCAGGGCCTGCGGGAGGGGCACAGAGTCAGCTGAGAGCCACCACCCCACCCAGAACCTGGCAGGACACATCAGGAAGGCCCTGTCAGCTAGAGGACTTCTGTCAGTGAGGTTGGCGAGGGCACGGACACAGGGTCAGCAGGGCTCACTGAGACCCGCCATCAGACCTACAGGCCAGAAGAACCCTGTCAGAGTCCACAGGGGCTACCAAGACCCACCACCCCATCTGGAAGCCAGAAGAACCCGTCAGTGGGGTGTGGGCTTGGAACACGGTGCTGGGTACCAACCGTCCCTTGGCACTGCTGAGCGACCAGGAGGAGCCAGGGGTGTGGGGTGCCCAAAGCAGTCCACCCACCATTGCCTGGGGCTGAGCCAGTCCTGTGGCACCCTTGCACCCCCATACGGATGAGCCAGAATGAGGGCCGCCGTCTGGCGTCCTGTCGGGGCCCATGTGCAGTCCTGACTCGGGGAGACCAGACCAGGCACCGCCATTAGCTAACCCTCCCAGCCCGGCACATTAACACTGTCTCACCGACACTTCCCGTCTGGCGAAGCTCAGGCCAGGGACTGCCGGCCCCAGGAAGCCCTCTGGCCCTGTCACAGGTGACCCCGTGGCTTCCTAACCATTCCCCCTGTCCTCAGAGCTGCCCTGATCACACCGGCTAGAAATAAGCCTTCCCTGCGGGTCAGGCGCCCTCAGCCCACCACCCAGGAAGAGCGTGGGAACCTCCCTGGCTGGCCTTGCTCCACGAGGCGTGGTTTTGTCTGTAAAATGGAACACCAACAGCTGTCAGCAGGTGATGCTGCCTCAGGCGACGCTGGTGATGTCTGTGTCCAGAGCCCAGCCCAGTGTGACACAGCTTGGTGACGCTCTCCCCACCCTCCTTCAGGAACCCAGCCCCGACTCTGGCAGCCAGAGCTGCAGGGCACCCCTGACGCTGCCCCCCCCGCAGGTCTTTGCAGCCTGCCTCCCAGTGCCCACTGCTGTCACCCAGAGCCCTGTTCAGGCCCCAGCACCACGGAGACCAGACCAGAGGGAGACCGAGGTCAGTGGGGTCTTCTGAGACTCTCAGCAACAGCTCTGCCTCTCCCGCTCTCTGGCAGTCAGCCATTCCCTAAAAACCGTGCCAAGGCCCAGGCCCCCCAGGAAGACATGACTGCAAAGGGACCGTGGGAAGGATGGCGGCTGCAGCAGCAGAGAGGGCCAGACACTAGGTGGGCAAGAAGTGGAGCTCTGTGGAAGCCAGCACAGACTTCAGGTCACTGGGGAACAGCTGGTCTTCCGGTCCACCAGAGTTACTCAGCCAGCACCCCGGGAGTTGGGGCCAAGAGACAGTGTGAGGTCGTGCAAGCTCCCCCTCGACCCCCTCCCTGCCAGAGCACTCACTGGGCAGCGGGCGGGAGGTGTGCAGCCCTGGCTCCACTCAGCTACTTGCACAGGGGTAACACTGATCGCCCTGACTACCAACATGCCCCAAGTCATCACCGCCAGGGCTGCTGGCGTGCACACGGGCCTTCAGAAAGGTTGACCTGGGGGAGCGCGTGCTCGGGCCACTGAGGCCGAGGGTCCTGTCTGGATCCCAGGCCGCCCTCAGCATCCACCCAGAACCAGAGGAAAGCACACGGCCACAGACGAGCATCTGCCCACAGGGCCAGCCGCCGAGGGGCCGGCACTGGGGAAGAGCCCACAGCCGCGCTCTTCAACACCCGGCACGCCAGCCTCCTGATGGGGCTGCAGAAGGGTGCCAAGGACCACGCCGCAGTCACGGGAATCCCGTCTCACGTAGGAGGACTTGCAGCTCAGGGGGCCTCTGCCCACCTGGGACCGGCAGAGCGCGGACCCCACAGCTGGCAACTCGCAGCTGGCATCTGCTGGGGACTCTCTGGTCAGCCCCTCACTGCCAGCATCGCCTGTCCTTGCAGGAGGTGAAGTGGTCACTCCATGGTGCCAGTAACAACCTGGCCAACATGGATGGGAAACGAAACTGGCCATTTCTCCACTTCCTGAGACGTGTCTGGTGACAACCAGGAACAGCAGCTCAAGCAACACCCCAGAACCTCAGTCCGGGTGGCTCAGTGACTTGGGGCAACTCTGGGTCTGATGGGCCATGGGTCCTGCTGAGTGGGATCTGCCACGGAGTCAGCTGCCAACTTCACAGGACCCAGGCTCAGGGTGGCTCTGAACTGCCTGGGCAGTGCTATGTGAGGACCCGTCTTCAAAGCTATCCTCTGTCTCATCTGAGGGAGTAGTGAGGGGTCTCCCACAGAAAGGAAGGGACACGCGGCTTAACCAGACCCTAGGAGCATGAGGCAGGCCGGACTGGGGCCCTAACTCTGCCAAGAAACCTCAACTAAGTCAGGTCTACCAGAGGCACGGGTGAGGGCCAAGAACAGAAACGGGAGGGGATGTGGAGTTCCAGGGGGCTCGGTGGTTGGGAGTGTGTCCTGAGGGGCTGGGCTCCTGGTCAAGTTGAGGACTGAGGTTTAGGGGCAAGTCAGAGCATGATGGGAGTCTAAAGGGTCATCCTTCCAGAGTTAAGGCTCCAGGCTTCGGAGTGCTGGCATGGGTCTCTAACAGCCCAGGGTTGCGGTGAGGATTCTGGGGTTGGGATCAGAGACCTTCAAGACACGGAGTCTCAGGATGGGGTTCAGGAATGGGGGAACCAGGGCACCGCCAGGGTCAGGGACAAGGGTCAGAGGTCGCAGGCTCTGGGGAGGGTCCCAAATCCTTCGAGCCAGGGACCAATGCCTCAGGGCAGTGAGGGTTCGGCGTCCCGGCCAGGGTCAAGGGTCGAGGTCAGAAGTCGGCTGAGGGGATCGGGGTCAGAGGTAGGGGTCGGGGCCGCGGTCACCTTGAGCAATACGAAGAACTCGAAGAGACGGCGGAAGGCGGGCGGAAAGAGCCGCGAGTAAGTCACGGCCATCTTGAAGAAGAGCGCATGGAAGAGCCGGTCGCGCACGTTGATGAGAGGGTTGGGGTTCAGGTTGGGGGTGCGAGGCCCGCGCGCAGGGGCCGGGCCACCGCCACCGCCGTTGGGTCCAGGACCCGGAGCTCCGGGCGCCGCGTGCTCCGACATGCTGCCCAGCGTCGAGCCTTAACGGTCCGCAGATCCTCGAGGACACTCTCCGACTCCCATGGGCTTTTCACCGTTGCCACCGCTGCGATCCTCACGGCTGCCGGGCCGTCGTCGCCATCTTCCGCCTTCTCTCCCAGCCGCGGCCCTGCTGATACCAGCGAGTCGCCGGGCCAGGCAAGAGCGACCGCTTCGCCCGCGGGGAACGCTGGGATGCGGGCGGTCGGCCCGCGGCGGCCCCGCCTCCTCCCTCGGCTACCAGAGACGGCAGCGCCGGGGGCGGGGCTGCCGCTGAGCCGGGAGTTTTGCATATTGTTACCCATAAACCTCTGCGGCTGATGGCCTAGTTTGAACGATAAAATCAATCAATATCTGAGCCTTTAGACGTCATCAAAAGCACTCTAAGTATGTTTATCTAAGGGAGCTATTTAAAAAAATTGAAGTCTGGAAAATTATACTTAAGAGTATACCATATTTAGTCGACCTAGCTGTAAAGTACTGTGAATTGTGGCCTTTAAATAATGGAGCACGCGAGGCAGAAATCGTGCTCGCTTCGGCAGCACATATACTAAAATTGGAACGATACAGAGAAGATTAGCATGGCCCCTGCGCAAGGATGACACGCAAATTCGTGAAGCGTTCCATATTTTTACTAGCGCGACGGACAGAGCCAACTCTACGAGCACGTTTTGGTGATAACAGGGGGCGACCTAACCTGACTGTTGTGTGCCCTAGGAGCTCTGGCATCATAGTGGCTAAAGCACTTGACTGCTAACCAGAAGGCTGGCGGTTCAAACCCACCAGCCACTCCTTGGAAGGAAGGTTGGGCAATCCTACTTCCGTAGTGATACTGCCTCGGAAACCCAAGGAGGGGTTGCTATGAGTCGGGGCCGACTCGATGGCAAACAACAACAACAACAGAAGCTCTGGTAGCATAGTGCCTAAGGCACTTGACTGCTAACCAGAAGGCTGGCACTTCAAACCCACTAGCCACCCTTTGAAGGACGGTTGGGCAATCTACTTCAATAGTGATATACCGCCTGGGAAATCCAAGGAGGGGTCGGCCACGGCACATAACAATAACAAAAACAAGGCCTGTTGCTGTCCCTGACGTGCCACACAGTACGTCAGAAGCAGTTTTTGAACATCTGCTTGGCGGCACCAGGATGTACCCCGCTGCTACCTGTGTACACCTGGCGCCTGCGAAACACTCCAGCCCCAAGAAAGAGTTCTTGGTGCTTCGAGCACGGGCTCCTCTGACCACCTCAGGGCTGGAACTTGGGCCTGCCCTTCCACCACCCCTCTCCCGGACCGCAGAACCTTGGCACTGGGCACCTCCTAGCAGACGAGTAAATTATTGCACCTGGTAAAATATGGATTACACTCCAGAATAAAGAAAAAAAAAAAAAAATCTTCACAACTGGACCTATAATAAGTGACATCACGATAAATGGAGATAAACTTGAAGTTGTCAAGGCTTTCATTTTACTTGGATCCATAATCAACACCCGTGGAAGCAGCAGTAAAGAAATTAAATGACTAGAGGGATGGACACTGGGAAGAGGTGACTGTCGGGAGGAAGTGGGAGGGGAGCTGTTGCATTGTGGTGAATTGTGGTCAATGTCATGAGACAAAGTGTATGTGAAATGCTGTATGGAAAGAGAATTTGCTCTGTAAATTTTCACCCAATTCCCAATTAAAAAAAAAAAAGAAGAATAATAAGAAGAAATTAAATGACATACTGCACTGGGCAAATCTGCTGCAAAAGATTTCTTTACAGTGTTCAAAAACAACCATGTCACTTTGAAAACCGAGGTGCGCCTGACTCAAGCCATGCTATTTTCAATAGCCTCATATGCATGTGAGTTGGATAATGAACAAAGACGGCACAAGAATTAATGCATTTGAATTGTGATGTTGGTGAAGTGTATTGAATGTACCATGGACCACGAGAAGAATGAACACATTTGTCTTGGAGGAAGTGCAGCCAGAATGCTCCTTGGAACTGAGAATGGCCAGGCTTCATCTCTCATCCTTTGGTCACGTTGTCAGAAGGGACCAGGCCCCGGAGCAGGATATCATGCTGGGTAAAGTGTTGGGGTCAGCGAAAAAGGGAAAGGCCCTCAGCGAAATGGATTGTTGCCACAGTGGCTCGACCATGGGCTCAAGTGCGGCAGCGATAGTGAGGCTGGCGTGGGACGGAGCAGTGTTTCGTTCTGTTGTACATGGAGCCACTATGAGTCACAACCCTGCTGATACCAGCGAGTCGCCGGCCACACTACTGCCGCCACCACCACCACCACTGCCGCGACCACTGCTTGTTAGGGAGCTCTAGTGGTACAGTGGTTGGTGCTAATGAAAAGGTCAGTAGTTCAAACCCACCATGAGGGAGTCTGCTTTCATAAAGATTTACAGCCTCGGAAACCCTATGGGCAGTTCTACCCTGTCCTGTTGGGTCCCTTTGGAGGGCACAGACCGTGGGTCCAGTGCTTCCAGCCCACCCAGCAGCAGGAAGCCTGGAAAGGCAGGGAGAGAGAGGAACATAAGGCAAGGATGTCAGGAAGCCGCTGGACACTAGGTTGGGCACCCAGGCCTGAACAGATACGCTGAAAAGATCCTCAGGCAATGCACTGAGTCCTGGGGCCTGTCCCGCAGAGCTCAGGAACTAGCAGGGGGACAGACAAGCCTATTCTGGCTCCTGACAGTAAGGGTCACAGACAGAGGCAGGGCATGGGGGCGGGGTCAGGGAGGAAGGAGACTGTCCAGCTGTGGCCTAGAGGCTGACCCCCCCAGCCCCATGTCCTGACCTCTGTCTGTGACCCCACTCAGTGCCCCTCCACCACCAAGACCGGGAGGCTAAAGTCATTCCCTTCCTGGTACATGCCATTGACAGGGCATATAGTAGGCACTCAATAAGCGCTCAACTACTAACTGAGAGGTTGGTGGTTCAAATCCACCAGCAAGTACCTTGGAAGAAAGGCCTGGTAACCTAGTTCCAAAGAGTCAGTCACTGAAACGGTTAGTAGGTCCATGTCATGTTCCATGTACATTTCAACTACTCTGTTGAGCCGGTCCCATGTCTGCCAGTGCAGAACTCCACCCCATAGACTTGTTTGTTTTTTCTGTATGTTGTGTTTGTTTGTTTTACTTTTATTGTGATGAAAATATATGCAACAAGACATTCGCTAACATAACTTCCACATTTACAGCTCAGCGACATTGATGACATTTGTCGTGTAGTGCCACCGTTCTTGCTATCTTTTCCAAAATATTTGACCACCATTAGCATATACTCAATGTGCTCCAAACAAAGGTTCCCCTTTGCCTCTGCCTCCTACTGCTGGTAACCATTGATCATCTTTGGTTTCTCTCTGTATATGTATATTTTTTTCCAACCTATCTAGAGATTTGTTGCATAGTGGCTAAGGCACTTGACTGCTAACCAGAAGGCTGGCGGTTCAAACCCACCAGCCACTCCTCGGAAGGACGAAGAGGCAATCTATTTCTGTAGCGATACTGCCTCAGAAACCCAAGGCGGGGTCGCTATGAGTCGGGTCCGACACGATGGCAAATAACAACAACATCTAGAGATTTTACCTCCCTTCTCCTCCCATCCTCGGTAACCAACAAAGAAAGTTTCCTTCCATGTATAAACTTTTCTTTGCCTAGTACAATGTTTGTCCTTCTGCGATCGCCTTATTTCACTCAGCATAATGTCCTCTAAGTTCATCCACGTTATGTGGTGTTTTGCAGATTCTACATTATTCATTAGGATTGCATAGTATTCCGTTGTGTGTATGTACCACAGTTTGTTTATCCATTCCTTGGTTGATGGGCACTTAGGTTGTTTCCACCTTTTGGCTATTGTAAATAGTGCTGCGATGAACATGGGTGTGCATATGTCTGTTCTTGTCATGGCTCTTACTGTTTTAGGGTATGTTCTGGTTACCTAGTGCCACTCTGACAAGAATATACCACAAATGGGATGATGTGTTAGACTGGGTTCTCTACAGAAACAAAACCAGTAAAGCTTATATATATAGAGAAAGAGAAATTTATCTTAGGAAAATGGCTCACACGCTTATGGAAGCTGGCAAGTCCAAAATTCTTGCATCAAACGTCAAGCTGGAGGCTTTTCCGCACTCACGCAGCTGCAGGGCTGAGGAGCTCAAGGCTGGCAGGCAGTACACTGTCTGTTGACTCCAACGAATGACGAATCCAAGGTCTCCAGGCCGAATGGTGGATTGTTCGCTCTCGGACAGTTGTAGGCAGCACAACAGGATCTCAATCCACGGAAGAGTGCCTCTTTTCCCAGGATGTCCGTAAGTATACTGGAAACAGGCCACACCCCTAGGAAAACTCCCTTTCAACGGATTGGCTGCTCAAAACATATACATCTGATCCCATCATTAGAACAACCCACATCACAATTGCTTAAACCACACAGAATTGTGTTCCAGCCAAGTTGACACACAGCTCCAACTATCACAGATGGTCTTAACAAACAGGAGTTTATTCTTACAGTTCAGAGGCTTTAAGTCCAAGTTAAAAGGGCCAGGCTCTAGGGGCTGGGTGAAAGCCACTCAGCCTTGGGCTTCAGCTCTGCCTCCAGCTCCTGGCCCACTGGAGCTAGAGGCATTTCTTCACTCAGACAGCTGCTGGCTGCTGAGGCTGAGAAGCCCAAGGTTGACAAGTAAAAAGACACAGTCCCGATGTTACCAAACCACACGGCAGGCCATTAATTCAAGTCCACTGTAAGTCCCAAGGTCGGCAGCACATGTTGTTCAACAATGACACGGCTACATGCGGGGTTCATGTGTGCCATAAGCTACAGACCATTCCCAAGGCTTCTCCTTATATACAGGAAGCAGACCACATCCCAAAGGCAGCTACTCAGCTGCTTGTGGTAGATCCCACCATGGAGTGATTGCCAGTCTCATCATGGGGAATAACTACCACCAGCTGCCCAGCCACTCAACCAGGCCCAGCCAAGTTGAGACAAACATAACTACCACACTGGTAAAGAGAAATCCAACTCATTTTTGTATGCTGATCTTGTATCCTACCACTGCGCTAAATCTCTCAATTAGTTCCGGTAGTTTCTTTTTACTGAGCCTCTTGGGTTTTCCACGTATAGGATCACATCACCAGCAAACAGGGCTAGTGTGACCTCTTCCTCGCCACTTTGGAGGCCTTTGCTTTCCCTTTCCTGCCCGCCTGCAGTGCCTGATGTTTTCAGAAGTATATTGTCAGGCCTTTCTTCCGAGGTGCCTCTGAGTGGATTTGAAAATTAGGACAAGAAAAACCACTATCCCGAATAAAGCAAAAAGCAGGGGACAGTGCTCGATGTAGACCAAAAACAGGAGTGAGAAGGAGCCAGCCAAGCAGTGTGGCCCTCGTGGCGACAGGGAGACCTGGAGATGGGCTCCTGGGTGGGTGGGGCACTGTGTCATACTTCACTGTTACTGGTTTGGGTTGTGCTGATGGCGTTGGGCCGGCGGACTGGGGTGGGGCAGGCTAAGAATTAAATTGGGGTTCAAAGTTTCCCTGAGAAGGTGACCCTGGATCAGAGGCTCAAAGGAAGGTAGCAAATAAGCCAGGGGTGGTCTCTGGGGAGAACGTCCCAAGCCGGGGTGCAGCCCGGACAGAAGAGGGGGCCCGTGGGCCTGGGCACAGGGCGTGAGGGAGAGTTCATGGCAGATGGGGCAGACCACGCAGGGCCTGGAGGACATCGTGTGGAGGGGCACTGGGGAGCCACGCGCAGAGTATGAACAGAGGCGTGTCCCACCTGCCTCCTCTGGGTGACAGCTCTGTCACGATTACTCTGTGCTTGCTTGTGTTGTTACTACTGAGTCAGGCTTGTTTTGTCCACGGCCAGCCAGGGTGGGGAGGGACAGCTCAAGCCTGCAGAGCTGAGACCCACATCCCACTCAGAGGGCAGGGAGGGGGGCAGCTGAATCACCCCCATGGGGCGTCCAAAGCCCCTGAGGTCCCCTCTGAGTAGGTGGCAGTGAATGGGCCGAAACGACCCATGTGCCATCAGCCCCAGGGCTTTGCCACACCCGCAGGCCCCTGTGCCCACCACCAAGACCCCCAGGCCCGGCCTGCCCGCCTAGCACTGACAGCAGGGCTTCGGGGGGCCCCAGGCCTGCAGCCACTGCACCTGTACTGCGGGGTTCAGCAGGCCCCCTCCCTCAGAGCAGCTGAGGCCCTCTGCCTGTGAGCCTCGTCACTGCCCCACAGCCTCCCAGGGGTCAAAGGGTGGAGGGGACCACAGAGGCCCTGAACCTTTGGAGAGAGAGGCAAGGGTTCCTCAGGGCCCCACTGCCAAGGCCAAAATTCCTAAGATTTCGACATCTGTTGACTCAAGGACTCCTTAGGGCGGCTTATGTTGTGCCAGATGCCGCAGTCAGCATTTTACAGATAAGCACCCTTTCCATGTTTACGACGGCCATGGGCTGTGCCAGCCACACGTCACCCTTTTACGAATGAGGAGAGTGACGGTCAGAGGGCTGCGGTGATTACGTAAGCCAAGTGGGAGGCCAGCCTTGAAGTGGTAAAATCATAGAGAAGGATGTTGTGGTCGCTGTCGGGCCTTTGAGTTGGTCCTCACAGTGACTCCACATACAACAGAAATAAACCCTGCCCGGTCCCGCCCCAGCCTCACGGTCCCTGCTGCACCTGAGCCCGTCGCTGCAGCCACCGTGTCAGTCCATCTCGCTGAGGGCCTTCCCCTCCTTCACTGACCCTCCAGCCCACCAAGCATGACATCCTTCTCCAGGAAATGGTCCCCTCTGACAACATGACCAAAGGAGGTGAGACGAAGTCTGGCCATTGTCGCTTCCAAGGAGCATTTCGGCCGCACTTCCTCCAGGACAGATCTGTTAGTTCTCCTGGCGGCCCACGGCACTCTCAGCATTCTTCGCCAGCACCACAGCTCAGAGGCTTCGACTCTGCTTCAGTCTTCCTTAGTCACTGTCCAGCTCTCACGTGCGTGTGAGGCGATTGGAAATACCCGCTGTTCTGGTTCCTAGTGCCGCTCTGACAAGAATATACCACAAATGGGACGGCCTTAACAAACAGGAGTTTATTCCTACAAATTGGACACTTTAAGTCCAAGCTCAAAGCCAGGCTCTAGGGGCTGGGTGAAAGCCCCTCAACCTTGGGGTCCAGCTTTGCCTCCAGCTCCCAGCCCACTGGAGCTAGAGGCGTTTCTTCACTCAGACAGCTGCTGGCTGCTGAGGCTGAGAAGCCCCAAGGTTGACAAGTAAAAAGGCACAGTCCCAATGTTACCAATCCACACGGCAGGCCATTAACTTAAATCCATTGTAAGTCCCAAGGTCGGCAGAGCATGGCAGGCTGCTGAGCAACGACACGGCTACATGCAGGGTCCAAGCGTGCCATAGGCTAGAGACCATTCCCAAGGCTTCTCCTTATATACAGGAAGCAGACCACATCCCAAAGGCAGCTACTCAGCTGCTTGTGGTAGATCCCACCATGGAGCTGATTGCCAGTCTCATCATGGGGAATAACTACCACCAGCTGCCCAGCCACTCAGGCGGGCCACAAACATAACTACCACACAGAGTGAGTAAGTATGCTGACATGCTCCCTTCCTGGTTTTAAACCACCCAGTGTCCGCTTGTTCTCTTGGTGTATAGAGAAGCACACACTTCCTCAAGTCTGAATTTCTCTGGTGGAGTTCCTAGAGTCATATTATAAGGTTCTGGGGAGATCCTTGTGGAACAGTGAGTGCTTGGCTGCTGACCAAATGGCTGGATGTTCGAATCCACCCAGAGGCATCTCAGGAGACAGGCCTGGCAACAGGCTTCTGAAAAAACCATCCACCGAGACCCCCATGGGGCACGGCACTGCTCTGACACACGCAGGCGCCGGGCATATGACCGCGGACGCTGGTGAGGAGGTAGAAGAGCCACTCCCTGGGCAGCCGGGGGACCTGCAGGGAGCCCACCCAGCCCTCACAGCTCCCTGCCCAGACCCTAGGAACCTGCCACTGCCCCACACTGGCAGCTGCACTGGCTCGGTGTTGACCCACAACTGTCCCCATTTCACAGACAAGAAAACTGAGAGTTGCCCGAGTCCGTAGGCAGGACTTGAACCTAAAGAAAGGCGACTTCAGGTGAGTGCATTAGAGGAATGACTGGCAGAGGAACAAAACACCCAGGGAGTGGGGCATCAGGCAGGAACACTCCTCAGGGGTGAGTCATCTCTGAGTCCCTACAGAACTCAACCAGCCACTTGTCAAATGTGTCAAACTCCCATTCATGCTTCAAAACCCCATCTCCCATGTCCACTCTTACACACAGCCTTCTTTGACCCTTCCAGCAGAGCCACTACTTCCTCTCCAGATTCCTCCAACCTCAGGCCCCTCCATCTGTCTTGTACCTGATCAGATGGGGCAGGAGGAGTCTGTGACTGGCTTGGTCTTTCTTTCCAGGGATGAGCAGGGCCAGAACGAAGATCTCTGGGAGCTAGCATCTCCTATCTGGCCCAGAGGGTGTGATGAATACACATGCCATTCTGTTATTTATCGTTTTATTGACATGCCCACTCAAGCAGACAGACTCGCACTGAGCACCAGCTGTGTGCTTGGTGGCTGGGCAGCCTCCATCCTGCCACCAGGGCATCTTGGGACTTCCACTCTCTGCTCTTCCATCATCTCCCCCAGCTCCCCCGACTCCTCCTCACCCCTCAGCCCCCAATTCAAGACCCCTTCTCACCTCACACACCTTTGACTCCCCCAGCTGATCTGATCGCTATATTCTTCCAACCACTGACAGTCCCTCCATCCTTTTGCCCCTGCTTTTTGTTCTGCCAGGAATCCCATTCCCTTTCGGACCAGCAAACTCCTACTCATCCAATCAGAGTCCTAGCTCCATTGACCCTGTCCTCTGAGAAACCTTTGGTTCTCTTAGCCACCCCTCAGCAATGCTGCCTGCCTTCCTGGGGACAGGGGCTAGTCTGGGAGGCCCCGCCAAGTGGCAGATAGGAGGTCCCACTCATTCCCCCAAGGGACTTAGGGTTCCAGCCAACCCGACAATACCCCTTCTCCCGCCATTCTGCAGAAGGGTAAACTAAGCTCCAGAGAGGGCGAGAGAGCCATCTACAGACGCCCAGCAGGGAGAAGGCTAGAGTGCCCAGGCTTGGCAGTCCAGAATCCCTGTCCCTTCCTGCCTCAGTTTCCCGTCGCTGCAAAGGGGATGAGGGCCCCCTCGTGGCCGCAGGTGACGGGGTGCTCCGCCCCGGTGGAGGTCGGGGTGGCTGAGGGGGCTCAGGAAGTCGCGGCCGCAGGAATTCGGCGCTTCCCAGCCTTATAAGGACAAGTGCACTCTGGGCCAATCAGCGGCGGGGGGCGTGGCGCCCGGCCGGGTCCCAGCCCCGCGCCCGCCGGCGGTGCGTCCCGTCCAGCCCAGTCCGCGCGCGCCGCCGGCCGCCGCCAGCCATGAGCTCCACGCAGTTCAACAAGGGGCCCTCGTATGGGCTCTCGGCCGAGGTCAAGAATCGGGTGAGTGGGGGACGCGCCCCCTCGGCCCCGCCTCCCGCGGCCGTCGCACCCTGACTTCTGCAGGGGTCTGGGCGACGTGGGGGGAGTGCAGCGGGAGGGCGGTCAGGGCTGAGACCCGAGGTGAGCCTGGCCCTCGCTCGCGCCCCCAGGGTCCTCAGCCTCCAGGTGGTCGAGGGGTGCTCCAGGTGCTCCTCCGAATGTGGGCAGCAGCCGAGTCAGATCTGGGGGAGCCACTCTCGCATCCTGCCCCATCTGAAGCCTCCGGCCCCTCTCCAGCCCCTAGCTCTGGGTCCCTGGGAGGCTTCACGTCGGTCCGAGCAAGCCCTGAAGGGCTGAGGGGACCCCAGCTGGCCCTCTCCGCTCCCTCTGGCCACACTTCTGCTTTTGGGAGGGGGAAGAGGGCGGGGCCAGGGCCTTTCGCGAAGGGCGTGGGCCCCCCCACAGGAATTTCCCGGCTTCACACCTGGGACGGGGCGGGAGGGGGAAGTTGAGCTGTTGGGGGCCTGGGCAGTTTCGTTCTTCATTCTCTTTGTGCCCATATGATGAACTGAAAGGGACAATAAATGATGTGTGGGGGTCCCCTGCAGTGTGACTTCTATGCATGTGGGTTTGTGACGTGGAAACACAAAGGCCAGGGAAAGACACTGTAGAAGAAACCAGTATGGTTCTGGCCCAGAGAGGGGCAAACACTTCTAGAGGGTCACACAGCAGGGTCGATTGTGCATCCCAGGGAAGGCTGAGAAGGTCCTTCCACCTGGAGGCGGGACGGTCATCCCTGCCCATCCCCCACCACACCACGCACACCCAGGTACCAGGCACCTGAGAATGTGGCCCTTAAGACAGCGGCCAGGGGCCTGGCTGGGCACGCCGCGGGCACTAGCCCTGCCAGCCTGAGCCAGACACCTGGCCGTGTCGGCACTCAGGGGCTGGCAGACAGGAGGGAGAAGGTCTGTATCCCCTCCTCGAGCCTCTCCAAGCCTTACCCTAACCCACTGGCCGGAAGAGGAGACTGAGGCTTGGGGAGTTAAGGGCTGATTGCAGGCCCCCCTCAAAGGCCTCTGGCCCTCCAAGAGTGATTGGATGGGCTGAATACCTGGGAGCTGAGGTGCAGGCCAGGGAGGTGGGGAGGAGGGGGTGGGAGGTGGGACGGGTGCTGCCCCACGCCCTATCTTAGGGCTCCTTATGCAGATGGAGCTCAGAGAGGTCACTCAAGTTACCCAGAACCACACAGCTTGCAAGTAGCAGAGCCAGAATTCGAGCCCAGGTGTGTCTGAGCCCCACACCTGACAGTCCCTGGTTCTCAAGGATGACTGTATTTTAAGCCATCAGTCCTGGCATCTCCCCTGGGACAACAGGAAGTGAGCGAGGCATGGCAACCCCAGCGGGTGCGGCAGCTTCCGGAAGGAGCTGGGGGCAGGTCGACACCTGCAGGGGCGGGGCTTGAGGTCAGATGCCGCAGCTCCCAGCCCTCAGTTTGCCCCTTCTGGAGAATGGGAGGGGAGAGGGGAGCTGCCCACTGGAAGGGCCACTCAGGCTGCATGCCAATAGGAAACCAGCTTCCTGTGGCTTTGAGCCCACTTCCTGTCTACTTTACCAGCCTCTTTGGGCCAGGGAGGCCTCTTTCCCCCCGCAGCCCCTCGTGCCTCAGTTTACCCCCACCAGACAGCACAGGGCAGGCCGGTGTCCAGCATGCCTCCCAAGGGGCGTGGCCGAGGCTTCCCTGGCTTGGGGTGGGGGGGCGCCTGCAGCACCGGGCACAGCTGGTCCCCATTTAGCCGGAAAAGCAGCAGCTGCATTCCTGGCGGTTTGCGGTGACCAAGGAATGCGCTCAAGGCTCAAGGGCCAGCCGGGCAGCTGGGGGAGGAAGTCGGCCGCAGTGGATGGGGCTGGGCCAGGCGCCTCCACCCGGGACCCCTGGCTCCCAGGCCCCAGAGCCGTCGGGGATGGGGCCCAGCTGGGCAGGGCCACCCACCGCCCCTTTCTCATTCCTCAGGCGGACAAAGTCTGGCAGAGCAGCTCCCCGAGGGAGGGCTGTGGGAGCCAGGAGGCTGAGGTCTGAGGGTGGGCTGGCCTCCTGCCTTCATCTCCCCTGGGCACCTGCCACCCGGCCCTGCTTCAGTCTCCCAGGGGCTTATGCAGGAAGCACAAGCCCCGTGTGCGGTGCCCTTAGGCCAGCGACTGCAAACAGAGACAGGGAAACTGAGGCTGGGTTGTGGGGACCGTTCACAACCATCCAGGCAGTTGGGGCAGAGCAGGGAACAGGAACTGGATGTTCCAGGGACATCTTGGGGGTCATTCCTGTCCCCTGGGTGCTGTGGGAGGAGAGGACAGGAAAGGACCTGCAAGGTAGGGGGCTGGGGGAGGAAAAGTGAGGGGTTCTGGAGCCAAGCAGCCTCTGACATGGACCACCTTGTTCCAGTGGTGGCTGTGTTCAGCTTCCCGCCACCCACACTCCCACCTGGCTCTTTGGCTCTTCAGGGCTTCCCTGGGCCTCAGCTGATCTGCCCTTCTCAGCGTCCCATGCTCCTCTCACAGGGAGGGGCGCGCCCGTGCTCGTGGCAGTGGGCGTGGGATGCGTGGCTCTGTGGGCGCATTCGCCCAGCCCTCCAGGCTCAGCAGAGGTGGCCCTGAGAGGACAGCCAGACTCACGGGGAGATGGACCACCAGCCCAGACGTGTAAGAGGCAGCAGACATGAGAGCCTGGAAGACAGAACAGGGTTCAGGAGAGAGGGATGCAACGGGGAGTCTGGGAAGGCCTCTCCGAGGAGGTGACCTGCGAGCTACCACTGAAGGCAAAGGGGGCTGAACAGCGTGAACATCCCCGTCGGCAGAGAGCCCAGGCCGAGGTCCTGAGGCAGGAACTAGCATGGTGAGGTGGGCAACAAGGCCAAGGTCTGCTGTCAATACCGTATTGACCCAGCACCCCACTGCTGGGCACATAGGTGTTCACAAGAACATTTCTAATGGCCAGAGGGTGGGAACAACCCAGGTGTCCATCAGGCAGATGATGGACAAACAGATGTGGTCCATCCACACCATGGAATATGACGCAGCCATCAAGAAGAACAAAGTACCGTTAACATGCTGTGACGGGGATGAACCTTGAAAACACGATGCTCAGTGAGAGATCGCGACACCAGAGGCCACATGGTGTCTGCTTCCAGTTTTAGGAAATGTCCCAAACAGGTTGAGCCACAGAGACAGAGAGTGGGTCAGTGGGCGCTGGGACTAGGGCGGGCAGCGGGAGTGAGCGCTCTGTCGTCCGGGCTCCCGTTGGGGTGGTGACAGAGTTCGGAATTAGACAGAGAAGGAGGTTGCAGAACGTCGTGAGCGAACTTCGTGGTGTGCGATCAAATGCTTTGGTATGGTTAATGGTGTGGTGTGTGTAGTTTCCCACAGTTCAAACCAACAACAGTGAGTCCAGTGCAGGGAGGACGAAGAGATGAGACAGGAGCATGCTGGGGCGGCCGAAAGACAGATCTTGGGGGATTTGGTGTTGCTTGGCACCATTGCACATGGAATAGAGCAGATGTTTGTGAATGCGAGAGGCGGGGGTGCGTGTGCCTCGGGGTGATTCGTCTCCCAGTGAGCAAGGGCTGGGGTGTCCCTGCTGTTGGGAAAGGGCAGGATCTGCTTAGGGGCATGGGGACCTCCAGGACCCTTTGTCTCTTCTTCCCTTGGAGTCACTGGCCGTTGCCAATCCCTAGCCAGGGGGCTTCTGCTGGGGACGACCCCCCAGCTTGGCCCTGTGCCCTCTGCCCTAGCTCCTGTCCAAATATGACCCCCAGAAGGAGGCAGAGCTCCGCAGCTGGATCGAGGAACTCACGGGTCTCTCCATCGGCCCCGACTTCCAGAAGGGACTGAAAGACGGCATCGTCTTGTGCACGTGAGTACCTGGCTCTGACGCACATCTTCACACTCGATAATTCCACGGAGGTGAGACTGCTTTGCACATGCCCTCCTCAGGTTTCCTTGCGCTTCACTTGGTGAGTTTGGGTCCCTCTCCTCTGCTTTCTATTTCTTGTCCTGTTTTGTGTGGCGTCTCCACCGGTGAGCATCCTCACCGTCACTCCGCTCTTTAGTGCGGGGGGGGGGGGCGCTCTCCATTGCCTGGAGGCCTTCCCCTGTTGCCTCACATCTTGATGTAGTGCAAACATTCCATGGTTTTGCACATTTAGACTTTTGATGGAAATTCCTGAATTCCCATCCAAAAATCTGTGGTTCCAAATTGTGCTGGGAATAGTGGTTGCTGTCAGTCATTGGCGTCTTTGCTTAATCAACAAGTGAGAGATGACTTTACGAGAGGAGAAGCCGAGGCCCAGAGAGAGTCCAGGCTTGGCTGAGGTTAGCCCGTGGCGTCTTGCCTCTGACTGGGGCCTCCGTGGACCTCTGGCACCAATGGAGGCTTGCGTTTCCCCTGCCCCATCTGCTCCCCCAGACTCATGAATAAGCTGCAGCCAGGCTCGGTCCCCAAGATCAACCGCTCCATGCAGAACTGGCACCAGGTGAGGGCTAGTGGGTGGCGGGGCAGGGTGGGGCCCACCTAACAGTCCTGACCCCCTGACGGTCCTTCTCTTCCCTCCTCCCAGCTGGAAAACCTCTCCAACTTCATCAAGGCCATGGTCAGGTATGGCATGAACCCCGTGGACCTGTTCGAGGCCAACGACCTGTTTGAGAGTGGGAACATGACCCAGGTGCAGGTGTCTCTTCTTGCCCTGGCAGGGAAGGTGAGGCCCAGAGAGGCACAGCAACCTGTCCAGGGTTACACAGCGAGGTAGTTGTTAGAGCTCCAATGCTGGTTCATTCATCTGCAAACATTTTGGAGCATTTACGAGGCGCCAGGCACTTTGGATTCAACGGTGAACACAACAGATGCGGCCCCCCCTCCGTGAACTCAGACTGATGGGGGAAGCAGGTGCACAGTCTGAGGGAGGAGGCAGGCACTGAAGCTTTTTTTTGGATTGATGAAAGTCTACACAGGAAAATATACTCCAGTTGGACACTCTCTGCACAGTTCAGAGACATGGAAGACGCTCTTCAAGGCGTACAGCCACTCAGTCTCCTTTCGCAAATTGTTCCTCCCCCATGACCATGAACTCCCTGCCCCCTGAGTGTCCTGTCTAACCTTGCATGTCAGCGGTCTGATCCCACAGAGAATACTCTTCAAAAGAGCATGCTGCTCAGGGCGAACATTCTCTACCAAATAAGCCAAACTGTGGTTTGGTTGTAAGAAGACGTCAGGGGATATTTTTGGTTTAAGGTTTAAAGGTTGTCTCCAGGCAACAGTTTCAGGGTTCATCCAGCCTCCATGGCTCCAGAAAGTCTAGATTCCGTGAGAATTTGGAATTCTGATGGAACAAATCATTGTGTATATAAATTGGGAGAAGTGCCTTAAAGGAGAAGAATGAGTTAGAGCAGTGTGGTCAGAACAGGCTTTCTGGAGGCAGTGACCTTTCCACTGCGGCCGGAATGGTGGGTGGAACAGTGCTTGAGCTGGAGAGGGAACAGCAAGGCTTTGACATGGATGGAGCGCTGGAGCAACGGGGAAGAGGGTTTTGAGTCTGGGAACTGTACTGTGAGTAGCGTCTTCAGACATCCCTTGTTGCTACCTGGAGACGGGGAGAGCAGAGAGGAGTCGGGCCAAGTGACCAGGCGAGAGACAGTGGTGGTGGCAAGCAGGGGCAGGATGGCTGTGGTGGGGAGGAGGTGACGAGATCCAAAGGTGGGTAGACAAAGAAGGCGAGAGAGAGGATGTGATGACGCCAGAGCTCTGCCGGAGACGGGCTGGTGCTGCCTGAGGTGGGCTGGGCTGGGCGCCACCCAGAGCCCCAATATGGGAGGGCTGACTCGTGACGTCCCTCTAGAGGCACTGGGTGGTGGGGGGGGTGTGCAGATCCTTGAGGCCAGATGAGAGCTGCTTGGAGAGGTGAGGGGAGCTTGAGGCCCAGCCCTGGTACCTGTCCTGGGACTGTATGCTCTGACCTGTACCAAGGGAGCCCCTATGCCCCCAACACTCCATCCCCCTTTATCCCCCAGGCTAAGACAAAGGGGCTGCAGAGTGGTGTGGACATTGGCGTCAAATACTCGGAGAAGCAGGAGCGGAACTTTGACGATGCCACCATGAAGGCGGGCCAGTGTGTCATCGGGCTCCAGGTGCATGCCAGGCTCCCCATCCCCCAGAGCGGGCTCTAGACATGACCCAGGCCCTACCGAGCCTCAAGGACCCTCAAGGCCAGGGCAAGGTCAAAGGCTGGGCAGGAGCAGCCTGACCTTGCTTGGCCCTCCTCCCTGCAGATGGGCACCAACAAATGTGCCAGCCAGTCGGGCATGACGGCCTACGGCATGAGGCGCCACCTCTACGACCCCAAGAACCACATCCTGCCGCCCATGGATCACTCCACCATCAGCCTCCAGATGGGCACCAACAAGTGCGCCAGCCAGGTGGGTCTCGCCGGCCCCCACTCCACCCCGCCCAGCCTGCGCTCCCGGCTACCCTGCGGTCTCTCTGGCCATGCCTTCTCCGTCTTTGCCTCAGACCCGTGTCCACCTCACTGTGTGTCCACAGGGCCATGGCTGTTACTCTCTGTGCCTGGTCTCCATCCAAGGAAGGACCAAAGGCCTATCCAATTCTGATCATTCTTTTTTTTTTTTTTCACTTTTTAAATTTTTTATTGTGATTTGGGTGAAAGTTGACAGAGCAAATGCATTTTCCATACAGCAGTTCATGCACATTTTGTTTCATGACATTGACTGCAGTTGGCACATGCAATAGCTCTCTTGCCTCTTCCTCCCTGTGGCTATCTCTTCCCTGTGTCCTTTCCTATCCATTCCTGCCCCCCAAGCTGTCTCCCTGTGCAAATACTGCCCTCCGTTTTCCCACAATGAATCACTCCAAGGAGTGTATCTACCTGGTGTAAATGTTCACCCCATATGCCTGTCTGTTGTTTCGCTGGAAGCCACAGGCGTGAGTTTAATTCCAGACCTGAAGGGTGACTAGGAGCCATGGTCTCAGGGTCTCACCAGGCTCTATCAGACCAGTAAGCTGGTCTTTTTTTGTGATTTTGAATTTTGTTGCACATTGTTCTCCCTCTCTATCCAGGATCTCCTGCACAGATCCCCCTCCGAGTGGCTGACAGTGGTAGCCGGCCACCATCCAGCTCTTCTGGTCTCAGGGTCATGTAGGCTGAGGTTCTCAAGGTCCACCAGTTCCTTGGACTAATTGTTTTCATGCGTCTTTGGTTTTCTTCATTCTTCATTGCTCTGGACGAGGAGAGACCCATAATTGCATCTAGATGGCTGCTTGCAAACTTTTTTTTTTTTTTTTTAAATTGTGATTTGGGTGAAAGTTTACAGAGCAAATTCACTTTCCATACACCAGTTCACACACACGTTGTCTCATGACATTGACTACAATTTACCCCAATACAACAGCTCCCCTCCCACTTCCTCCCCACAGTTACCTCTTCCCTGTGTCCATCCCTCCATGCACTCCTGCTCCCTGAGCTGTCTCCCTGTGCATAAGCAGCCCTTCTTTCTCCCATGATTGTTCTCTCCAAGGAGTGTATCCACCTCAGGTAAATGTTCAACTCATATGCCTGTCTTTTGTTTGGCTGGAAGCCACAGGTGTGGGTTCAGTTCCAGACCTGAAGGGCAGCTAGGGGCCATAGTCTCAGTGGTTCCACCAGGCTCTATCCAACCAGCAAACCTGGTCCCCCCTTTTTTTCTCTCCAAATGATTTTAAGTTTTGTTCTACATTGTTCTCCCTCTCTATCCAGAATCTCCTACATAGATCCCCCTCCAAGTGGATGACAGTGGTAGCCAGGCACCATCTAGTTCTTCTGCTCTCGTAGTCGTATAGGCTGCAGATCGGATGGTGTACCAGTCTCTAGGACTAATTGTATCCATGCATTTTTGGTTTTCTTCAGTCTTCTTTGCTTTGGACGAGGAGAGACCCATCGTTGCATCTAGATGGCAGCTTGCTAGCTTTTAAGATCCCAGTCGCTACTCGCCAAAGTAGGAGGTGGAACAGTGTTTTGTGTAGTATGTTATGCCAATTGAGCTTGATGTCCCCTGCCACTATGGTCCTGAGCCCACAGGTCCAACTACTCTCTCCCCCTGGGTAGCTGGCTGTGGGTGTTGGCAAAGTTATTATAACTTTGCCCCCTGTTAGTCCAATTCTGGTAGTTCTCAGGGCACACGGTTCTCTTTCTCCGTGGTGGTGAATGTGTCTGTGTGATGTTTGTGGAACATGGCGCAAGCACGGGTGAGGGAAAGCGGGACACAGACTGTCCTGGTCTGGAGGGGCCAGGGGCGAGGGTCCTGTTAACAAAGATGGACTCAGCATGGAGGCAGAAAAGATGGGTCTGAGCAAGGCTTAAGGGTCCCTGGATGGCACAATTTGTGCTCAAGTGTTAACCTAAAGGTTGGCGGTTCAAACCTACCCAGTGGCTCTGTGGACAAAAAGCCTGGTGATCTGCCTCCACAAAGATTATTACTGTGGTTGTGTGCTGTGGAGTCCATTCCACTCACAGTGGCCCTAGAGGACAGAGTGGAACTGCCCCACAGGGTTTCCAAGGCTGTCAGTCTTCACAGGATCAGATGACCAGGTCTTTCCTCCTGCCTCCTCTGGGTGCGTTCAAACAGTCAATCTTTCCGTTAGCAGCCAAGCACTTAACCTTTATGCCACCAGGGCTTCTTTCTGCAAAGAACACAGCCAGAGAAGCCTGTGGAACTTGGTTCTCTGTAACTCATGGGGGTGCAGGAGTTGGAATGCACTGGATGGCGGTGGGTTCGTATTTCTTGTTGATCAAGGCTTGGAAGGATCCATAGGAGTTTTCTAGGCAGGGAAGCTGGGAGGTGGGAAATGGTGTGGGAGTTTGGGGAGGTCTCTCTCTTGCAGCCTCAGGTTTCCACTCTAGGAGTGGCCAGGCGTGGGGCTCAGAGCAGAGGTGTGTTCCTCTCTGTCCCAGCCCTGACGCCCTCTCCTTCCTCCTCAGGTGGGCATGACAGCTCCAGGGACCCGGCGGCACATCTACGACACCAAGCTGGGCACAGACAAGTGTGACAACTCCTCCATGTCCCTGCAGATGGGCTACACGCAGGGTGCCAACCAGAGTGGCCAGGTGTTTGGCCTGGGCCGGCAGATCTATGACCCCAAGTACTGCCCGCAAGGCCCAGCGGCAGATGAGGCCGCAGCAAGTGCCGGCGACAGCCCAGGCCCTGGGGAGGCCCCTGAGTTCCCCCCCTACTACCAGAAGGAGGTGGACTACTGAGGCGTCATGTGTGGCATCTCCCCGCATCATTGCCTCATCTGAGTTTTTTTTTTTTTTTTGTGCTTTCATCTTGTTTTTCTACACGTTGGAGGGCTGCCAGCCTCAGGTCTGTGGGTGGCTGGCGGTTGGGGTGGGCAGGCAAACGGACCATCAGGGGTGTGGTTCCCATCCTCCCTTGGTTCCTTGGAAGGACTGAGCCACCAGACTTGGGGGTAGGGGTTCTGTCAGGGGAGTTGCTAGGGCACAATCAGCAGCCAACTCCTCTGCAGCCTTGAACCTGAGCTGGGGGGAGGAGAGAGACCTGGGCAGGGAGGGGCCCAGCCCCCCATGGTTTCCGGTTGCATCTCCCTCCCTTCCCTTTTCTAGGTGGATCAGTTTGTGGTTTCTGTAACCACAAAAGCTTCAGGCAGTTTTTAAAGAAAAAAGAAAAAAAAAAAACTTTTTTTTTTTGTTTTCTCCCTGTGGTGCTAGGAAATGGATCCCCTGGGTGAGGGCCAGGCCACTGACCTGGAATATTTTCCGCATTTCCAGAGTCTAGATTTCCTTGGACCCTCACAATGCCAACTGTGATTCCTTCCAGGACCCTCAGTGGGGAAACAGGCTCAGACAGTGGAATTCTAAGTGGTCGAGGCAAAGCCAGATGCTCCCATACTCGCGCGCACCCACCCATCACTGGTGGCCCTCCCAGACGGTCCAGTCTGCCTGTCCTGCCACCTGCCGAGAACTGCACAGGGTCACCCACATGGAGATCCTTCTAGGGACCAGTCCCCCCCAGAAGCCTGGGACCATGAGATAATGTGAAATACTGATTGTGGACCAAATTGCAATAAAAACTTTTTAGGAAAAGCAAGTGCCTAGGAGAATTGGGGTTGAATGGAGAGGCGGGGCTGGGAGATGGGGGTGTTTGGTGTGGTTACTTTATGGGGGCGGGGCAAGAGGCACACCCTTGTTAGTTCTCACAGCACTGGGGGATGGGGAAGCCGAGGCCGGGACACAAGGTAAGGCTGAGTAGAATGAAGGATTTGAGGTGCCAGGCGGAAAGGGCCTCCCAGCCTTGCCTCCAAGCTTAGACAACGTGGGGCCCTCACCTCCACTTCCAGATAACAGCTCGGCTCCGTCCACACTGCAGCCCCAGCCCGTCGCTCTGGCAAGCGCCATCCTAAAACTCCATCCCCACCTGCACCCCCAGGGCCTTCGGACCTGCTGGGTCGCCATTCTCCCAGCGAGCTTGGGGAATAGATCCAGTTCCTAGACCGGGAAAACGGATCTGGGGGTTTTCAGCAAAATCGGGTGACCGTTAGGACGCAGGACCCACCTTAGAATTATGAGGGCCTCCCGCACGCCTCTGCCAGAGCGTGGCCTGCCACTGGGACCAAGGAATGTGTGTGTAATATGACGTACGGATGATAATTCTGGTCCAACTGCGAAGGGTCACAGGGCGAGTGGTTAGGCCCGGGCCCCCCAGTGGGGAGTGGGCAGCAAGGTTGCTTCTGCAATGGGAGCTGAGGTATTGAGGGCGCCTGTGCCTGGTGGGAAGACAGCTCGGCTCCCTAGGCAGGGCTCTGGGGACCTTGTCGAGGGCTCGGCTAAGTCCAGCGATGATGAAGCAACGGGCGCACGGTCCCTTTAAGAAACCCGGCTCAGCGTGGCCCCGCCTCCCCCGCCTCGGCGTTCGTAGTTCCTGAGGGTCGGGTCCGTGAGTGGCAGGCGCAGCGACCAATGGTCGCTGGAAAGGGTGGGACCGAGAGCAGCTGCCGGCAAAGGGATGCGAAGGGCGGTCGTCTTCGGGGGCGCTGCGCCCGCGAGGGGCTCTTCTTAAAAGGGTCGCGCTTCCTGGCCTCTGCTTGGCGGAGGGAAGCCGGCAGCACTGGGGCGCCTGGAACGGTGAGAGGACCCAGGGAGGGAGGAAGGCCCTGAGATTCGAGGATCAGGGGGCGGAGGTGGGAAGCAGGTTCCTGGGAATTAGAGGCTGCGGGCCGAGCCCAGCGCCTCACTCACCCTTCATCCTCTTCTGGTGAGTGTCGAGGGACTGAAGACTACTGATCTTCCAGGGAGAGGCTGGGCAACAAGGTCACTGCGACACCCTTCGCTACACCTGGAATTTCTTCCCCATTAGAGAACTCCGCACTTCCAAATGGGGAAACTGAGGCTACTTCCCACATCTTACATCCCGCGTTAAGTGAAGGACCCTCGAGTGGGGTTCGGGGGTCCTAGATCCCAGTTCCTGTCTCTATGGTCTGGGTTGGGAGACCTTTGGCCCTTTGGCAATGTCCTGTCCTTCTATCAGCCTCAATTTCTCCATCTGCGCCAGGTAGGCTAGAGCTGAACTTCCAAGCCCAGCTGATTCTGGGATCCTCCATAAGTGCCCTTTCCTTGAGCTTCTGACTTATCAATAATTCGTGAGGGGCGGGACAGACCCTGCCTGTCCTTTGGTATCCTTGCGGGGCTTCAGTTTCTACTTCTGTAAAATGGAATGGTAATCGAGCACTTCCATTCGACCATCTTCGGCGCACTAAATATTCGTTGCTGTTGTCATTAGGGAAGAGTGGGGGCGGGGAAGGGAGGTAGAACTCTTCTCTGGGCCAAAGAAGCGTCTGGGAGCTGGGGAGACTTGGGAGAGGACCCCTGGTGGGTTTGGGTGGAGCCTCTTGATGAAAGAGTTAAGCCGAGGCTCCGCCCCCTGAGGGATTAGGGGGAGGGTCTTCCAGACCCTAGCCACCAGCCTGGCAGGGAGCGATATCACTGACAACCAATAATATGCAAGGATGGCTTCGGGCCAGACTCCCATTGGTCTACTTCATTGTAGGGGTAGCGCTGTGTCCCACATAGAACGCCTACTGTTTGCCCCAAGCAGAGCCTCCTAGAACGCCTTACTGTGCGGAAGAAGGATGAGGACCCGAGAAGGGCAGGGAGTTGCCCATGGTCACACAGCACGTCCTCGGCCTGGTCCGTGACTTGACCCCTCTGCCCTGGCCTCTGTCCAGTCCCACCATGGCCTTCTGGACGCAGCTGGTGCTGCTGCTCTGGAAGAATTTCACTTATCGCAGGAGACAGCCGGTAACGTTGCGGTGGCAGGGTGAGGCGGGGCGGGGCTGAGCAGGCGCCGTACAAGGCCTGTCACTAACCCTCCACCTGCACTGCACCCGCCCCTCCAGATCCAGCTCCTTGTTGAGTTGCTGTGGCCCCTCTTTCTCTTCTTCATCCTGGTAGCCGTCCGCCATTCCCACCCCCCATTCGAGCACCATGAATGTAAGCTCCCCAGGGACCAGACCCTTTGTGGGGGCAGGGGAAGGTAAACAGATCTTCCGGCTCACAGGCACCCCAGTGAGTGGCCCAGAGCACACCCCAGGCGTCCAGTAAGGCTCTAGAAGTGAGCTCTCTGTGACTGAAGAATGCAGTCTGTGGGGGGGCGGTGATCAAATGGTCGGGAGTCAGGTAAAGGGAGCCAGGTCTTGAACAGTCAGGCGTATCCCTGCAGGCCACTTCCCCAACAAGCCGCTGCCATCGGCGGGCATGGTGTCCTGGCTGCAGGGCCTCATCTGTAACGTGAACAACACCTGCTTTGCACAGCCAACACCTGGCGAGGAGCCTGGGGTCCTGAGCAACCTCAATGACTCTCTGTGAGCACCAGGCAGCAGTGGGTGTGGGCTAGCGGGGGCAGCAGTGCCCACCGGAACCCTCACTCCACCCTTTCTGTCCCCAGGGTCTCCCGGCTCCTGGCTGAAGCCCGTGGTGTCCTGGGAGGCCCCAATGCCTACAGGGCACTGGCTGGCCTGGGGAAGCTGATGCCCGCGCTGAGGGAGGCCCTCAGGACAGGTGAGGAGGCTCTGAGCCTCAGCTCGGCTGGCTGTGAAATGGGCACAGGGTGGAGAAGGGTTTCAGGTTTGTATAACTCTGTGTTCCGATGTTTTCTGCCCAGGTGGGCCTCAACAGAACCACCAGCCACAGGAGGGACCATCAACACCGGACATGCTGGCCACTAAGCTGTTGGGGACCCTGTTTCAAGGGGTGAGATGGGACAGGGCAGGCCCAGGAATCTTGGCACTGCCCCATCCTGGGGCAACTGCTCCTCGCTCCCTGCCTCTTCCTCCAGCCTCCAAGTCTGTCCCTGGAGTGCACTCTCTTGTCCTACTTGGGCCCATCAGGTGTGGCATGGCATGGTGATGAGGAGTTCAGTCTGTGGGACCTTGGACAATACCCCTCTCAGAGCCTCAGTTTCCCTCTCTGTAAAATGAGGCCCACTCAGGCACCTAGCAGACTGCTTAACCCTGAGCAAGCACTTAAAGGCATTGTCACCTTGTCTCTCTATAGAACTTGTTGGGGTCTGTGCTGAGCCAAGCCCAGGAGACTATGGATAGCTTTGTGGAGGCAGCAGAAGACCTGGCCCAGGAAGTAAGAGGCCCTGCCCATCTTCAGCCCCACCTTCAGATGGGAGCAATCAGGGAAGGCTGCCTGGAGGGGGAGGTGATAGGCAGCCCTGGGCATTCTCTTTGGGAATTGGCAGAGAGCTCTGCCCTTCTTCCAGTTTGGAGGTGGGACAGTGCCAGAGGGAGGGTTGCCAGTCACCCCCTAGTGACCTTCCCCTAGGTACAGGCACTGCCCAGCCTGGCTGAGCTGTGGGCGCTGCTGCAGAGACCCCAGGAGACCAGCAGCCCCCTGAAGGCTGTATCAGAAGTCCTGTGTGGTGCCAGGGGGCCTGGTGGCCCAGGGGTGCCCTCTCTCAACTGGTACGAGGACAGTGACCTGAGGGAGTTCGTGGGGCAGGATCTGGCACCAGGCCTGGTGGACAGTGGCCTAAGTGAGTGACTGGCCTTGAGTCCCCATCTGGGAAGTGGGGCAGTGGGCATGGGGTCCGGTCTCACAATGTCCCTGTTCCAGGCCCTGCCTGTGCTGAGCTGATGGGGGGCCTGGACACCCACCCACTGTCCCGCCTGCTCTGGAGACGCCTGAAGCCACTGGTCCTTGGGAAACTACTCTTTGCTCCTGACACACCGTTCACAAGGCAGATCATGGCCCAGGTGAGGGTGGCCCTGATGCTGGTGAGTCAGGGCCCGGCCAGCGTGAATGACCTGGGGCCTGTGTGTCCAGGAGGCTTCTCTTGGAGGAGGGTCATAGAAGCAAGGCTTTGACGGTGAAGTAGCAGTTTGCCAGGGAGCTCTGGTGGTGCAATGGTTAAGGGATTTGCCTGCTAACCAAAAGGTCGGTAGTTCGAACCCACCAACTGCTCTGTGCAAGAAAGATGAGGCAGTCTGCTTCTGTGAAGATTGACAGCCTTGGAAACCCAATGGGGTTCGCTATGAGTTGGGGTTGCTATGAGTTGGCATCGACTTGATAGCAGTGAGTTCGGCTTGCTTGGAAGAGTTTGCCAGATTGCAGGCAGAGGGACCAGAATGTGCAAAGGCTCGGAGGCAGATACTGAACCTGTGTCCCACCTCCATGCAGGTGAACCAGACCTTCCAGGAGGTGGCTCTGCTGAGGGACATCCAAGAGGTGTGGGGGGTGCTGGGACCCCAAATTTTCGACTTCATGAATGACAGTGCCAACGTGGCCATGCTGCAGGTGGGGCTCAGAATGGCGGCTTGCCCCACACGCATCCACTGCCCATCCCCAGCACATATGGCCCTCTGAAGGATTTGGGCAAAGGACAGGGAAGGGTCTTACGGGCAAGGGGCAGGTCCAGCAAAGGTGTGGAGTAGGGATGTGGGGGCTGTGGATGGGAAGAGGGGTGATGGGGCTGTGAAGGCCTAATACAGACAGACCACACCTTCACTGCCCCCTAGCGGTTCCTGCAGATGAGGGACAAAGGGAGGAGTCAGCCAGGACCCAGAGGCCAGGACTGGCCTGAGGCCCTCGGTGCCTTCCTGGACCCCAGCAGGGGTGGCTACAGCTGGCAGGAGGCCCACACCAATGTGGGGCACCTGGTGGACATGCTGGGCAGCATGATGGAGGTGAGAGAATTCCCAGTTGGGGACCTCTGTCTGAGGGGGACAGGGCCCAATTCAGGTCATCTGAATCCAGGGTTGAGTGTGTCCGGGGGACCCAAAGGAGAAGGTGGGCCTTGTTCTGGGATTCTGAGGGGGTGACATCCTACCACCTTGTGGGTGCTCTGTGGGTGTCTTGAGAGGGGAGGCCTCCAGGCCTGGGGCAGTTTGAGAGGGAAGACTTCTGCTCTGTGCAGTGAGAAAGGGTTTACAGAGGCAGCCACCTGGCTTTTTGGAGATCCGATAGGGGAGAAGCTCTGAAGGGGAAGACAGTCCAGCCTGAGGTTCAGGGGGAGGAGCCAGTGGTCTGAAGGGAGAAGCCACGGACCATCTCAGGCCCACACCCTGCCCCCCCCCCCCAGTGCATATCACTGGACAAGCTGGAGGCGGCACCCTCGGAAGGGGCGCTTGTGGAGCGGGCCCTGCAGCTGCTGGCTGAGCACCGCTTCTGGGCTGGCATCGTCTTCCTGGGGCCTGAAGACCCTCCGGACCTCACCGAGCCCCCAGCCCCGGACTCTGGTCCTGGCCACCTGAGGGTCAAGATACGCATGGACATCGACAATGTTATGAGGACCAATAAAATCAGGGACAGGTGTGGGAGGCAGTGGGGTGGGCGGGGCCAGGAGCGTGATAGGTGGGGCCAGAGTGCATTCAGCCTATCGAAGGCTGTAGTGGGTGGAGCCTGTGGCACATGCTCAAAGCTGTCGTGGATGGAGCCCAGTCCTCCGACCAATTGAGGCCCATGATAGGTGGAGCCTTCGTTGCATAAGGACACTGACGAAGTTGTGGTGAGCGGGGTCTAAAAATGGGAGTGAGTATAGGATGATGGCCGTGACGGGAGGGGCAATGGCTGCGGTGAGCGAACGATCGCGTCTAAGGCATGAGCGGAGTTAAAATTGTTCGGTTAGGCCAGGTGGGCCGATTGGGAGTGCCAAGGCCCTCTCCATCGCTGACCCCTTCTGCCCGCCTCCCCCATACCCTTTTTGCAGGTTTTGGGACCCCGGCCCGGCTGCTGACCCCCTGACTGATCTGCGCTACGTGTGGGGCGGCTTTGTGTACCTGCAGGATCTGCTGGAGCGCGCAGCCGTGCGGGTGCTCAGCGGCACCTCTCCCCGCGTGGGCCTCTACCTGCAGCAGATGCCCTACCCGTGCTTCGTGGATGACGTGTGAGCGCCGGCGTCCCCGCCCATTTCCCCACCCACCAGACCAGGGTCTGAGGGGCATCTGGCTCTAAAGGATCGGGGCACAACTAGTTCCCTGTGAAGCGAGTGGCTGTCCGCTCTGAAAGCTTTGGGGGTTAGGCTTCCACAGCACTGGTACCAGCCTCTAAAGGTAGTTTAATTGTCTGGATGGGGCCGGGGCGTCGTTTGGAACATCCACACAGTCAAGGCCAACCACTCAGAGGCATTAGTCTTTGGGACCTGAGTAGACGCAGTTGGGGTCCCCAGGAGGATCCTGAAGTTCAGTCAGGAACCCGAGAGTGTGAACGGGAACGAATCTCTCCTGCTGGCGCAGAATCTGGGCCGCACAATGTTTTCCCACCTTGGGCCACAGCGCAGGGTCTCCGCCCAACCCAAGGCGTATCCCCGCCCCAGGTTCCTGCGCGTACTGGGCCGGTCGTTGCCGCTCTTCCTGACTCTGGCCTGGATTTACTCGGTGGCGCTGACGGTGAAGGCTGTGGTGCGCGAGAAGGAGACGCGGCTGCGGGACACGATGCGTGCCATGGGACTGGGCCGCACCGTGCTCTGGCTTGGCTGGTTCCTCAGCTGCCTTGGCCCCTTCCTTCTCAGCGTCGGTCTGCTGGTGCTGGTGCTCAAGGTGGGCGCGCATCTCCGCCTTCCCAGCTGCAGAATGGGCACGTGCGGGAGGGTAACAGGCACCAGGCGCCAGGCTTCTGAGAGCCCCTGGGTCCCCGCAGCTCGGGGACATCCTCCCCTACAGCCACCCGGCCGTGGTGTTCCTGTTCCTGTCGACCTTCGCCATGGCCACCGTGGTTCACAGCTTCTTGCTGAGTGTCTTCTTCTCCCACGCCAACCTGGCGGCTGCCTGCGGGGGCCTCGCCTACTTCTCGCTCTACCTCCCCTACGTGCTGTGTGTGGCCTGGCGGGACCGGCTGCCCGCGGGCGGCCGTGTGGCCGCGGTGAGGGCAGGCCGGGCCGGGTGGGGGCGCCCTGGGCCACACCAGCACGCTGACCCGGCCGCCTCGCCCGCAGAGCCTGCTGTCGCCGGTGGCCTTCGGCTTCGGTTGCGAGAGCCTGGCGCTGCTGGAGGAGCAGGGCGAGGGCGCACAGTGGCATAACATGGCCACCGGGCCTGCGGCTGACGTCTTCAGCCTGGCCCAGGCCTCGGGCCTGCTGCTACTCGATGCAGCCCTCTACGGCCTGGCCACCTGGTACCTGGAGGCCGTATGGCCAGGTGGGTCACAGATGGCGGGGCTTCGCACCAGGACACGGTTGTACACATGCGGTTGGGCTGAAGGGCGGAACCTGGGGCCGCTTGTTAGTTGGAGCTCCCTAAGCCAGGTTAGCCCCAGTGCTGCACGAGGTTTCGGGTTGCGTGCGCCTGCGCACAAGAATCTGTGTCTAGAGGCTGAGCTTCCTGACATGCGCACGGGCGGCTGTATTTGACGCGCTGGCTCTGAGGCGCGTGAGAGGGGTTTCCTGGCCGCTCAGGACCTGGACTCGGTGATCCCGGGTGTGTGGCCAGAAACAGGCATGCTCCGGGGTGCAAAGGATAACTGAGCACCAACTCCCAGGCCAGTACGGGATCCCCGAACCGTGGAACTTCCCCTTTCGGAGGAGCTACTGGTGTGGGCCCCTGCTGCCCAAGGACCGCGCCCCGTCCTCTCCACCACAGGACCCGGAGGGTGAGGGTCCGGAAGCTTAGCCCCTCCCCCACCTGGACCCACCAGCTCCCCCAAACCCCCAGGTTTCAATCCTCTGCACATCCCCAGGCCTCTGGGGCTCCCCTGACTCCTAAACGTGTCAGCTCCTACACACGCCGGCTGTTAACCATTCCGAAGTCTTGTGGACCCCCGCCCGGTCCTTGCTGCCCCGTCGAGGCCCCCTCAGACCTCCCCTCCCTAGCCTCCCTTCAGTCACCAGGTGGCCACCGTCCCCGCACTGAGTCTGCCCTCTGTCGGTGTCGCCCTGCAGTGCTGGTGGAAGAGGCACCGCCCGGCCTCCATCCCGGTGTCTCAGTGCGCGGCCTGGAGAAGCGCTTCCCTGGCAGCCCGCGGCCCGCGCTGCGCGGGCTCAGCCTGGACTTCTACCAGGGCCACATCACCGCCTTCCTGGGCCACAACGGGGCTGGCAAGACCACCACGCTGTGAGCCGCCGGCCCGTCCTGGCCCTCCCCACCACATCCTCTCCTGGCCCCAGCTTCCCATCTGTTCCACGCAAAGGCACTCACTCACGGTGGGGCGGGTGTGAATTGGGGGCGGAGCCCGGTTCACTCCAGGTATATGGTAGGCAGGTGCTAAATGTTTTCTCTGGTTTTCAATTTCCCTTACCTGTAAAGTGGGGACATAACACCGAATTGGGACAGACGTACAGTAGGTGCCCTATTAATGCACACACTTCCTGTCTCTGGCCCTTGGTTTCCTCTGAGACCCTTTCCCCACCCAGGTCCATCCTGAGTGGCCTCTTCCCGCCCAGTGGCGGCTCTGCCTTCATCTTGGGCTATGACGTCCAGTCCCACATGGCAGCCATCCGGCCCCACCTGGGTGTCTGCCCCCAGTACAACGTGCTGTTCGACCTGTGAGTCTGGGTGGGGCGGGGCGCAGGGGCCTGGTGTTCCCCCAGGCCTGCTCACCTAGCACCTGCTGTGTGTCCACCTTGGCCGCAGGCTCACGGTAGAGGAGCACGTCTGGTTCTATGGGCGGCTGAAGGGGCTCAGTGCAGCTGAGGTGGGTCCCGAGCAGGACCGGCTGCTGCAGGATGTGGGTCTAGTCCCCAAGCGCTGGACACAGACACGCCACCTCTCTGGTGAGCTTGGCCTGGCGAGGTTGCCTCCAGGTTGGGAGAGCGAACTGGCAGAGGCTTCATCCCAAGGAGGGGGTGGAAGCGAGGGGAGTCAGGTGGGCAGGTTTGGGGGACCCAGGAGGAGCCGAGCCCTGAGGTCCTGGTAGGGGGAGAGGGGCCGTTGAAACCTGGCCCCTGTCTCCCCAGGTGGGATGCAGAGGAAGCTCTCTGTGGCTATTGCCTTTGTCGGGGGCTCCCATGTCGTCATCCTGGATGAGCCCACAGCTGGAGTGGACCCTGCTTCCCGCCGCAGCATTTGGGAGCTGCTGCTCAAATACCGGGAAGGTAGGAAGTGGGCAGCAGAGGTTCCTCTGAATTCTGCTTGATGGGTCAGAAAAGGTTTCCAAGGAGAAAGTATTGGGGACGTGGGATTTTGAGACATGAGTAGGAGTTTGCTGCACAGGGCAGGTAATTCCTAGCAGAGGCTGCAGCCTGGGCCAAGGCCAGGCCACCCAGGGTACACGTGGTTGGGTCTCTGTGCCCAGGCCGCACACTGATCCTCTCCACCCACCACTTGGATGAGGCGGAGCTGCTGGGAGACCGAGTGGCCGTGGTGACAGGTGGCCGGCTGTGCTGCTGTGGCTCCCCACTCTTCCTGCGTCGTCACCTGGGCTCCGGCTACTATCTGACGTTGGTGAAGGGTCCCCCGCCCCTGGCTGCTGGCGTGAAGGTGAGAGCTGAAACTGACCTCTGACCCCCAAGACTGTCCCAGCTCTGGCAGATACGGTAGCTGGAGTTCTCTGTTTGTAGGGTGACAGTGACTTGAAGCACAGGGTGGACACCAGGCAGGAAGGAGAACAGAGCGGAGTGGCTGGTGAGGATCAGGGCAGGAGCCCCAGATGGTATAGGATGGTAGAGTGGTGGCACCTCAGATTAGACCCCTGACCCCTAGGCTGAGACCCCCATCACCCTGACCCTGAGTTAAGCCCAAATTCCAATCCTTTCCCTTTAAGTGAGTGTGAAACCAGTCCCTATGCAAACCCACCCTTGACCTTGCTGGATTCCATCCCTGACGCCAGGTCGAACCCAGGGCACTCATGAGTCCACAAAGCCCCAGAGTCTGCAGGGCTCTGATGCACCCCCTTCTTGCCCAGATGTGGCCCAGCTGCTAGCCCTCGTGCAGCGCTGGGTGCCTGGGGCACGTCTGGTGGAGGAGCTGCCTCACGAATTGGTGCTGGTCCTGCCCTACCTGGGTGCCCTGGACGGCAGCTTCGCTGGGCTCTTCCGTGAGCTGGATACGCGCGTGGGGGAGCTTGGGCTTGGCGGCTGTGGGATCTCGGACACCAGCCTCGAGGAGGTGTGTGGGTGGGGTGGTTATGTGGGTTGTGCGGGAGGAGGGCTGCCTGAAGGAGGTGAGGTGGCACTTGGTGGGATGCACAGGAGTTTAAGTATTGATGACAAGAACCTTTCAGAGAGGAGGCAGGCCATGCAGGAGGAAGGCAGGCTGGGGACCAAAGTGCGTTTAAGGGACGGGCAGCTCTCCAGTCTCTGAGTCCCCTCCTGTGGGCCCTCAGGTCTGAGCCCCCACCTTGTCTCCCCAGATCTTCCTGAAGGTGGTAGAAGACTGTGGTGTGGACGCAGATCCCGAGGGTGCGCCCACTGATTCCTGACCTGCCCCTGAGTCTGGTCCAGAGGTGGACCTGACCTTAGGCCAAGTCCATAGCCCTGATCCCCACCCTGGGCCCCGATTGACCCTGAATCCCAGGCTGAACAGCAACCCCTGACCCAGCCCCAGGCTCAGCACTAATTCCTGACCCCTGATGGCCCCGCAGACAGTGGCCATGGGCAGCCCCTGCGCACAGGCTTCACTGCTGCAGTCAAGACCATGCGGCTTGGGACGCTGCCGGAGGAGGCAGTTCTGGAGAACGGGGAGCCAGGTATGTCCCCCACTGTGGCCTGGGGGCCTCTCCTAGTCCCCCACATGTGAGTGCTGACCTCCTGTCCCCCACAGCTGGCTTGACCCCGGAGACACAGGCCCTGCGCGGCTCCAGCCTGGGTACTGCAGGCCGGGTACAGGGCTGGGTGCTGACCTGCCAGCAGCTCCGGGCCCTGCTTCGCAAGCGTTTTCTGCTGGCCCGCCGCAGTTGCCGGGGCCTGTTTGCACAGGTAAGGGGGCCCTGGGGCCTGTTCTCGTGCTGGCCGTTTGCTCAGTGGCCTAATTCAAGTACCTGCTCCCATGTGTTCTGCCATGAACGCGTCTACTGATGGCACTTGGGAGGCGTGACTGGTTCTGGAGTGGGAGCAGGGAAGGGTGTGCATGCCGGGGAGCCGCGACTGGGAAGAAGGAGGGTGCGGGGAAGCCTAGAGGACAGGCCAGGCAGCTGCTGATGGGCCGGCCCGCAGATTGGGCTCCCCGCCCTCTTTGTGGGCCTGGCACTGGTGTTCAGCCTCATCGCACCACCTTTCGGGCACTACCCAGCACTGCGGCTCAGTCCAGCCATGTATGGGACCCAGGTGTCCTTCTTCAGGTGGGTATGAAAGGGAGCAGGCTTGGAGGGGGGTTGGGCTGGGGCCTATGGGCACAATTCTGACCCTGCACCCCCTACACACAGCGAGGATGCCCCAGGGGACCCTGAAAGTGCCCGCCTGCTCCAGGCACTGCTGGAGGAGGCGGGGCTGGAAGAGCCGTACCTGCTGGCCAGCACCAACAGGTGAGGGCCCTCCGCCTGAACCTCATCCCTCCCTGGCCTGATTCCCCACCTGGGTTCTGGTTGGTGGATATTGGAGGATGCCCAGAATACCTGCTATGGCTGCTGGGGAGCTGGATGCTCCCACAGTCCTGGGTGCCTGCAGCCCCGTCTCCACTCCCAACAGGACGCCTCAGTGCACACCACTCCCTTCCTGCCTATTCTTGGTGCCTGAGGTGCCTACGGATGTGGCCAAGGTCTTGGCCAGTGGCAACTGGACCCCCGAGTCTCCATCTCCAGCTTGCCAGTGCAGCCAGCCTGGCTCCCGCCGCCTGCTACCGGATTGCCCGGCTGCAGCTGGTGGCCCCCCACCACCCCAGCTGCTGACAGGCTCGGGTGAGGTGGTCCAGAACCTGACAGGCCGGAACCTGTCTGACTTCCTGGTCAAGACCTACCCACGACTAGTGCGCCAGGGGTGAGACGCAAACACTGGCCACAACTGGGGAGCCTTGGGTTGGGAGGTAGGCTGGTCAGGGGACCTCAGCCTGGGGCTCTAGGCTGAGACCTCCCCAGGGTCTTCCAGGTCTCACCAGGTCTTTCTTTCTTTGAATCTCACCCTTCTGGATTCTCTCCTCCATCTCTGTCTCTCCCCATCTCTGGTCTCTCCTCTTGAGTCTCTGCTGGTCTCTTCTTCCCCATCTCTGTCTCTGTCCCCCGCCCCCTGTCTCTGTCTTCTCTCATCTGTCTCCATCTATCCCTTCTTCTGTCTGGCCCCTATCTTTGTTGTTCCCTATCTCTGTCTCTCTCTCTCTATGTCTGTTTCCACCACAGCCTGAAGACCAAGAAATGGGTGAATGAGGTCAGGTGAGGACGGGCTCAACTTGGGGATCCCCTGCCCCGATTCCAGTCCCACTACCCCCTCCCTGTCTCTTGGAGGACACTTCCTACCTGACACTTCCGAGCCCTCAGCTGCATCCTCCCTGCCCCTACTGCCACACAGGTATGGGGGGTTCTCTCTGGGTGGCCGGGATCCAGGCCTGCCCTCAGGGCAGGCTGTGGGCCGCTCACTAGAGGAGCTGCGTGTGCTGCTGAGCCCGGTGCCAGGCGGGGCCCTGGACCGCATCCTGAACAACCTCACAGCCTGGGCTCGCAGCCTGGATGTTCAGGACAGTGTCAAGGTAGGAGCCAGAGGTGCAGGTGGGAGGCAGTAGGGGCAATCCGGTCCCCACCCTGACCCCTACCATGACCCCTCGCCCCACGCTGACCCCACCCCAGGTCTGGTTCAACAACAAGGGCTGGCACGCCATGGTGGCCTTCGTCAACCGAGCCAACAATGCACTCCTACGTGCTCACCTGCCCCCAGGCCCTGCCCGCCGCGCTCACAGCATCACCACGCTCAACCATCCCCTGAACCTCACGAAGGAGCAGCTGTCTGAGGCTGCGCTGTGAGTCCGCCATCTCACGTGCTCTTCCCCCACCTGGGTCTGCCACCTCAGTCGGTAGGAGCTGCTCTCGCTTTGCTGCAGACTTGCTGTGGAAACAGGACAGGGACTGCCCCTTGCCAGTCCCAGCCAGAGTAATGGCGTCATCAGCTTTAACAGGCTCTGGGCTCCCCGTACAGCCTGCATACCCACCTTTGTCCCACCAAACTTTATCCTGACACAGACCTGGACAGCTTCTCCCTGCCAAATGATGTAGCCCCCCTTCCGCAACAGCCCATGCCATCTCCTTCACCAGGGACTGGTCCTGTAGATCTTTGTCCCATCCATGACACACACAGCTCTGCTTCGAGCATCTCTCACGCCCTGCCCCCTCCAATGGCCCTTGTACCCTCACCCCCAGAATGGCTTCCTCAGTGGACGTCCTCGTCTCCATCTGTGTGGTCTTCGCTATGTCCTTTGTCCCAGCCAGCTTCACACTCGTCCTCATTGAGGAGCGCGTCACCCGAGCCAAACACCTGCAGCTCATGGGGGGCCTACCCCCCACCCTCTACTGGCTCGGCAACTTTCTCTGGGACATGGTGCGGGGGCTGCCTGGAGGGGTGGGGGCCCAGTCACTATCTCTTCCAGACCCTTCTGGGCAAAGTCCTGTCCAGGATGGCTTGGGGTGGGAGAGGGTCTTGGGGATTGTTGGAGACCTCATGTCTTCTTACCCCAAAAGCAGGGAGGTTAAAGTAGGGCCCAGGGCAGAGGGTGGCATTCCTTGTCCCTACACACTGACACAGGTACTGCCATCTCCAATGCAGTGTAACTACTTGGTGTCAGCATGTATTGTGGTCCTCATCTTCCTGGCCTTCCAGCAGAAGGCGTATGTGGCCCCTGCCAACCTACCTGCCCTCCTCCTTCTGCTGCTACTGTATGGGTGAGACTCTCGGCTCCTGAGGGCCCATCCTCACTGCCCGTCCTTTCCTCCCCTGCCTAATGCTGCTGAGAAAGACAAGACTCTGCAGCAGTTTCTGGGGAGGAAATGTGGGGATCTGGGTGACTGCAAGTGTGATCTGATTAGTGAGGTGCTAACGTGGCCTTAAAAGCTCATCCTGTCCTGGGTCACATTAGTAGATGCTTCGGGCACAGAAGATGGGAGGGAAAAATCTATTCCTCTTGGGGCTGCTCAGCTCTTTGAGCGGTTGCCTTGGTGGCTCCTGTTGCCCCTTCAGCTGGTCGATCACGCCGCTCATGTACCCAGCATCCTTCTTCTTCTCCGTGCCCAGCACGGCCTATGTGGTGCTCACCTGCATCAACCTCTTCATCGGAATCAATGGCAGCATGGCCACCTTTGTGCTGGAGCTCTTCTCTGACCAGGTGGGGTGCTGTGAGGTTGGGTCTCAGGCTGGGTCAGGGCAGTGACCTTGCCGCTGACCCACCTCCCTCTTCCTGTTTGTGACCAGAAACTGCAGCAGGTGAGCCAAATCCTGAAACGAGTCTTCCTCATCTTCCCCCACTTCTGCCTGGGCCGAGGGCTCATTGACATGGTGCGGAACCAGGCCGTGGCTGATGCGTTTGAGCGCCTGGGTGAGAACTTCCTGCCAGGTGACGCCATGCCTTTAGGCAGCCAACACCCTTGGCAGTGTCACCCAAGGCGTAGTTGTATGGTGTGGGGACAAACAGAGCCCCCAGGAAGAGAACCATGAGTTTTAAGTAGCCTCGAGTTTGGCCCAAGTTAGAAGTACAACAGGGCAGCCCTAAAATCTAATTCCGTCTAAGGTTACATGACAAAAGCCATAAGGCCCTAAATAAAGGAGGTAATGATATCACTATTTTCTGTGGCGATTGGACCACAGTTGAGTGCCCCATCCAGTTTTTGGCCCTCTCACTTAAGAATTTAGGCTGGCCTGGGTGGGAAAAGGGGCTGGAAACCAAGCCCCTCAGGGACCTTGTCACTCCTTCCCATACCCACAGGAGACCAGCAGTTCCAGTCACCTCTGCGTTGGGAGGTGGTCGGCAAGAACCTCTTGGCCATGGCAGTCCAGGGGCCTCTCTTCCTCCTCTTCACACTCCTGCTCCAGCACCGCCACCACCTCCTTCCACAGTCAGTGGAGGCTGGGGTGGGGTGGGTCTGGGGGGCTGGCTTTGGCTTTTTTTTTTTTTTTAATTGTGATTTGGGTGAAAGTTTACAGAGCGAATTCATTCTCCGTACCGCAGTTCATACACATGCTGTTTTATGACAGTGACAGCAGTTCTTTGGGCCAACTCTTGTCTGTCCCCAGACCCAAGCTGCAGCGTATGCCACCTCTGGAGGAGGAAGATGAGGATGTGGCCCGTGAGCGGGAGCGGGTGGTCCGAGGGGCCACTCAGGGTGATGTGTTGGTGCTGAGGGACCTGACCAAGGTGGGCGCAGACTGGTGAGGGACTGCGAGAAGTTCCTGCTGGCCCACCCACCTGTCCTTAGGGACTTTGACCTCCCTCCCAGGTGTACCGTGGCCAGAGGATGCCTGCTGTCAACCGCCTGTGCCTGGGAATCCCCCCTGGGGAGGTGAGACCTGGGTGGAGGCAGTGCAGCTTCGAGTCCCTACTGTGTGCATACGAGTACTTGTCGAACACCTGCTGTCTGCTAACAGACTGTCACTGAGCATCTACTGTGTGGTTACATTTATTTAGCCCTTCTGTGTGCAACAAGGTGTTGGTAGGCTCTCCTGGAGGGCAAGATAACATTACTGAGTGCCTGCTGGATGCCACACATATGCCAGACTCTCAAAAAACCACGCTCACTGCGGTCGAGTCAGTTCTGACTCATAGCAACCCCTTCCGAGGCGGTATATCTTTACAGAAGCAGACTGCCTCATCTTTCTTCTGCAGAGTGGCTAGTGGGTTTGAACAACCTTTTGGTTAGCAGCCAAACGTTTTAACCACTACAGCACCAGAGCTCCTTACACATATGCCAGTAAGCTTTAATTAAGTACCTACTATTTTCCGTCCTCTAGTAAGTACCAATTCTGTGCACTAAAGCATTGTTGAACCTCCCTGTGTGGCGACAAAAGTTTTATCGAGCACCCACTGTACACACCAAAACTGTATTGAATGCCACCTTTTGTTGGGCGCCAACAAGCTTTTGTTGAGTCCCTGATGTATACACATCTGTACCGAGCACTTGCTTACAACACCTGATCTGTACACATTTACATTAAAAACCTACTATGTGTGCATGTATTTATTGGCCACCTACTAAGGGCCAGTCCACATTTGTAAACACCATTTTTTTAAGCAGAAGCTCGGAACCCTGCCCTGTGGGGGATCACAGGTGCTGCCACAGGGCCCCAAGGCCTCCCTGGGCACCTTCTGTGTGTCTCTGCAGTGCTTTGGGTTGCTGGGTGTCAATGGTGCAGGCAAAACGTCCACGTTCCGCATGGTGACGGGGGACATGCTGCCCAGCGGGGGCGAGGCTGTGCTGGCGGGCCACAGGTGAGGGGCTCAGTGGGGGGCTCTGAGACACCCCCTGCCCTCACCAATAAGACCCAGGGCGGGCCTCGAGACTCCGTGTCCCCACTCAGCACGGCCAGGGGCTGGCCACTTTCTTGAGCCCCCTGTCCCACCAATCCCCAGCGTGGCCCGGGAATCAGCTGCCGCCCACCGCTGCATGGGCTACTGCCCGCAGTCTGACGCGATCCTCCAGCTGCTGACGGGCCGCGAGCACCTGGAGCTCTTTGCACGCCTACGTGGTGTCCCAGAGGCCCAGGTAGCCCAGGTGAGCCAGGCAGCCCCTGCTCCCAGTCCCGCTACTGCATGCCACCACCCTCTGGCAGCTTCTACACTCCACCGCCCCTTTCCACTGTCTTGACGACACTCCCCCTCCTCCCCAGCAATCTGCCCTTTCCCTCCTAGACTCTTCTTGGTTTGGGGGGGGGGCATTCTCCCCTGACCCTGCCTCTTGCGCCCACTGGCCCCGCCCACAGACAGCAAGTGCGGGCCTGGCTCGCCTGGGGCTTGTGCACTATTCTGACCGGCCTGCGGGCACCTACAGTGGCGGCAACAAGCGGAAGTTGGCGACAGCGGTGGCGCTGGTTGGAGACCCAGCGGTAGTCTTCCTGGTGCGTGAGGATGGGCGGGGCTGGTCCTGGTGGGACTGGGCTGATGGGTGGCCCTCTTCCCCAGGATGAGCCGACCACGGGCATGGACCCCCGAGCGCGGCGCTTCCTTTGGAACAGCCTCTTGGCGGTGGTGCGAGAGGGCCGCTCCGTGGTGCTCACCTCGCACAGGTAGGCCCCTGCCAGTACCGCCTGGTCCCAGGCCCTGGAGGAGGCCTCAGGCCAATCCTGATGGAGCTGGGGGTGAGAAAAGAGGGCCAGACCTCCCCGAGGCTGTCCAGACCCGAGAGGCAAGGGGTGGGTGGCCCTGACGGGTAGAGGAGGATACCTGGATGGGCCGCAGTGAGGGGTCCTGACCCTAGGACCCGAAGCCAGGCGCTGGGGTGTGGAGATGCAGTGAGGGGAGGGGCCGGGGGCCGGCCGGAGGTTGTCCGGATCCGAGGGGATGCCCCGGAACGCCGGGTTCCAGGCCCTCCCGGAGCTCGCCGCGTTCTGCAGCATGGAGGAGTGTGAGGCGCTCTGCACACGCCTGGCCATCATGACGAATGGGCGGTTCCGCTGCCTGGGCAGCGCGCAGCATCTCAAGGCCAGGTGAGTGGGCCAGGGCTCCGGGAAGGTGTTGGGCTGGACTAGGAGGGAGGAGGGGCATGTGTGGTAGCAGGGATAGAGGAGAGAGAGGCGGGGGGCGGAGCCACGTGGAGCCCAGGTTCCGGGCGCGTCCGGGAGCGGGGAGTGAGGATGGGGGCTGCAGGGGGCTGGGCACTAACCAAGGGAGGATTAGCCAGGAAGGGGCCCTGTGTGCTCTGGGGGGCAGGGTGCGTCAAGCAGGCCAGGGGTAGGGGCCAAGCCAGGTCTAGGAAGCGGCTCGTGGGTCAGTCCAACAGCCCTGGCCTCATCCGCCCTAGATTCGGGGCGGGCCACACGCTGATCCTGCGGGTGCCTGCGGGGCGGGCCGAAGCAGCGGCGGAGTTCGTGGCGGCTGCGTTTCCGGGGGCCGAGCTGCGGGAGGCCTACGGCGGTCTCCTGCGCTTCCAGCTGCCACCAGGTGGACTTTGCGACCTGGCCCGCGTCTTTGAGGAGCTGGCAGCACACGGCGCAGAGCACGGCGTCCAGGACTTCTCCGTGAGCCAGACCACGCTGGAGGAGGTGACTGGTGCCTGGGACCGGAGGGGGGTCCTGGGCGCCAGGCCTGCAGGCTGACCGTCCCTCCCTCCTGCCCGCGCTGGTACGCACCCACCAGGTATTCCTGTACTTCTCCAAAGACCAAGGGAGGAGGGAGGCGGAGGAAGGCACCGCTTTGCAGAAGGAGACACGAGTGGGTGGGGACGTCACACAATGTCTGCGGAGCCGTAAACGCGTCAGCTGCTTCCTGGAGGACCCCAGTGCTACGGAAACTGTGCTCTGAGCCCCCAGCACCCCTGGGTGAACAATGCGGAGGGGCTGGCACTGGGACCCAAACTCAGGGAGAGACAATAAAGAGAAGATGGACAGTGTAACTGCGCAGTCCTTAGTCCTTAAGCCAGGCAGCGTGCGTCTGCTGCGCGCGGCTTGCACTCGCTCGGGTGTGGGTTCTCCGTGCTCAGCGTGAGCGGGCTCGCGGTTGCACAAGTGCCAGTCAGGGTGCAGGTGTGAAGCAACTAGGCCCCGCCGGGACTGGGTGTCTCCCGTGCACGGGGCTGCTTCACCGGCGCCTGGTCACGGCCGTGCGTGCCCACGGGGCTCTGATGCCCTCGGGTAGCCCCTGCCCGGGCGGTGGAGGGACTGGGGTCAGCCTCTTGGGCTGGGGAGACGTCCCATCCTGGCCCCGGGCACAGTTAGCGGCAAGCAGAGGGTCCTCACGGGGTTGCTGGGCTGGCTGTGCAGTTGGAGCCGGGCTTGGCACGGGGCTGCAGGCTGTGAGCCCTGTGCCCAGGGCCCGCCCCTTCCGCCAAGCTCTGTGATGACGGAGTGGGCTGGGGGGTGGG